AATCGAAATGTAATTTTATAACAAGTAATTTGATTCCTGAACTTACGCATCTGATCTGATTTCCGAAATTGGAATAGCTTTTCGATTCCCAACCCTCCGACTAAATTATTTCATTCTTGCATGCAAAAAGACCTGTATGGTGACTATGGGGCTATGTAAAATATTTTTTGCAACTTACTAGGTTTATCATTTGTAATTTTTTTCCAATAATGTTGATAATCTTCTGTTACCTAACTGTTGACATCGACATCGCAATAGGCTACTTATGAGACATCGTCGATATACGATAATATCATCTTATCGCCCAGCCCTATATTAAGTGCCAAAGGTAAATATCAGCTTTAAAAGGGTCTTCAAATCTTTAGTGCATTCAAGTCATGTTGAAAAGATTGAACCCACATGAACACCACCGGAGTGTCAGAACTATCTTTAAGCCCAGAGTTTCCGAGTAGAGTGCAGGTCAGTGAGAAAATATGAGGAACGCAATAGATGCAACAACTGTATTGATGGCAAATTGGTTGAAATTAATGCATTTGTTTTCTATTCTATTTACAATAAAATTATCTAATACTCGCACTCAAAATACTTCGGTATTACGCAAATATAGCTTCATAAATTGAATAAAAACATAAATCAAAAACAAACCAGCTGTGCATTCCTTATTCATCATTTTGTAGAATTAGAGTTAATTTTTTTTAATTTATAGAAAATATTTTTTTTTTTGTAGAAAAGCTATAATGCCATTTTTCTCCAAACTGAATGTATCTAATATTGTAATTACATCCCAACTTGTAAACATGAACTTCCCAGGAGGACTTAAATGTTTTGGATAAAGTGGGGCCTTGGAGTAAAAAAGGTCAAGAACCACTACTTTTATACATACTTGGGCTCCAGCTGGGCCATATTAGTGGTAATAAGCGAGCCCCAGTCTCCTCCCTGGACATAGTACTGGTTGAAACCAAGCCTCTTCATCAGTTTATTGAATATGTGTGCTGCACATACACCGTCAAAACCTGTGCAAAACACATTTTGATCATTAAAAAAATGCAAAACATGGAAAATATTTAATAGACTAATCCACATGTGTTTGAAACAAAATATCTGTTAGGTTGGGTTGTTTGACCTTTACCTTTTTTATGTGGGGCCTCTGAGAAACCATAACCAGGTATTGAGGGACAAATGATTTCGAAAGTAATGTCATCAGGACTGGATGGCTCCGTAAGCAGGGGGATGATACCATAAAATTCATAGAAGGAGCCTGGCCATCCATGTACCATCATCAGAGGCACAGCATGGGTTCCCTCAGCCAGGCTCTTTGGTTTCACGTGAACATAGTGAATATCAATACCTTTTGTTATAGAGAACACCACAACACAAAACAAAAATCAGTTGTGGAGTACTATAAAATATGTGCAAAACATAAGCATCTTCTTGCAAAAAATTTAGTTCTTAAAGGAACAGTTCACCCAAAAATAAACATTTGCTGAAAATTTACTCAACCTCAGATCATCCAAGATGTAGATTAGTTTGTTTCTTTATCAGATTTGGTGAAATTTAAGCACTACATAATTTGCTCACCAATGGATCCTCTGCAGTGAATGGGTGCCGTCAGAATGAGAGTTCAAACAGCTGATAAAAACATCACAATAATCCACATGACTCCAGTTGACCAATTAATGTCTTGAAGCAAAAAGCTTTGTTTGTAAGAAGCACATTTTTCAAGATGTTTTTTTAACTTCAAGTGTAACGGTGGCCCCTGATCTCAAGAGGCGCACTAGTGACTGATGCTAGAGGCTGCGGTCTTTAGCATTCTTGTTAGTGCACACACCTTTCATGCCCAGGTTTAAGTTCTGCTCGGAGCGGGGCGGTTGGGACCGGAGGTGTTACATTGGCACCATGACCTAGATGGGAGTGAGGCTTGGGGGGGGGGGTGAGTGTAGATTACTTGATTATTGTGATGTTTTTATCAGCTCTTTGAACTTTCATTCTGACGGCACCCATTCACTGCAGATGATCCATTTATAAACATGATGTAATGCTGAATAGCTCCAAAACATCAATGCATTTACCATTGCTCTGCGAAATTTTGAATGATCTACATGAAATCTGGATTAAGTTTTGCATACTTTTTTGTTCATGCAGAATTTTTGCTGAAATTTCGTTAATGTGACCACACCTTTACTATAGCTGTGCACTAGTCAAGGCTCACCTTCGATTTTGGTTTTGAAATGAGGGTATTTGTTCAGTTTATCCACTTGTTTCCTCCAGTTAAAATCATTCCTCCAATAAGACACAACCTTCTCAAGGTATTTGGAGTTGAAGCCATAGTTAAACTGACTGTCTTCAAGAGAAGGAAATGAGCGGGTCTGATCTAGCCTGCGGTGTAGATCCTAAGGATTATAAAGGAGATTTTGATACAGACAAAATACACACCAAATGTATTTCCAGTGAAACATCTATATGAAATTTTATTCTGATGATGACAGCAGGATTTACCTCAATCTCTTCTGAAGTTGTCTCAACTTTGAAAGGGCGGATACTATCATCTTCGGGTTCTTGGGGACAAGCTCCCACACCCCACCACCCATCATGTGCTTTCAGTACACTCTTTCTTTTCTTCAGGAATACCAGGGCTACCACCGTTCCGAGCCCCAATGCCACTGCCAACTCTTTGTACATGGTTTAGGGCCCTGGAATGAAGCAAATACAATTTTTATCTCCTTGGAATAAGCTGGAGTGTCTTGCTCAAGGTAGAAATGATGATAGTTAGCTCATGGATCACCCCTTGCAGAGTTTGAACCTTTTATACAACCACTAGGCAATGTGCTTCTAATGCATGCATGCAGGAAAATGGAGCAAAGGTTTATTGTTGCACAACATTCCCAGCACTGAGATTAGGATGGACAAAGCTCTATGGTTACAACATTTGGGGCACAGTGCATGACAAAGCTCTTCTCTGTCTAACCGCACACTAAATACCCTGTAAACAGGAATGTCAGAATGTGGGCTGTTCTTTTAATTATGTATTATTCACAAAAATATCATAACCTCATCTGACATATTACTTTTTTCTGTACAAACAAATGATATAAATAGTTTAAATATCTGAATAATTAATTTAATCTAAGAGGCTTAATAATTTTAGTGGAATTCTAGTAAGAGAATAATAAACAACTCTTCTTCAGTCTTTTTCTTCAAAGAAAAAAAAATTGATGAGTCACCAAATAGCTAAAATAACATGCACAGAAGTTACTTCTTCATTGCATTTACCTTAATAAACTTATTATTGAACGAGGATGTTGCTGCATAACCAGTGATTTGATCATCATAATTACACATGTACAGATCGTGCTATAGCAACACGCTAACCGATTGATATGCTGTTGCTTTAGATTAATCTTAATGAACGAACTAGCTTAATTTTGCAAAAACGTCATGATTAAAAACACCAGAGATGAAGCACACTCACCTCAATAAGTAGCAAAAAAAAAACCTGCGATCGTTTAGCACCAAGACGCAGAACCATTGTCCCCGTGCACCATGGGAAACGTAGTCACATTATAATCTGCGCACGCTCCATTTTACTGTGGAAAACGGATACATTTCTGTAATTCTGTTATGTAAAATTAGTTACTTCTTTCAGATAATAGTCGTGGTTTTATTGTAGTACAAAATAAATACACACCAAACAAACTTTTGATTGTAATTAGGTAATGACCTTTTGCAATAAGACGTTCTAGAAATAAAAACATTAAAAACGTAACCAAAAGAAAACGTACTTGCACCATGGTAATTTGCGATATTACTTTGTGTATGGTAGAAACTGAAGGGACGCACGAGACAAGTTTTACCCGTTATTACAGCTGACAGGAGCAGCGCGCGCTCAGTGAGACTGACAGGAGGGCGGGTTTTCTGAGGTAATACCATAGACTGTATATACACTTATGTTTCACATATCAGTTACTTTCTTAAACTAACATATGTGTCATAATAACATTTGTGTAGGTTACTTACCTTAAAGAACGATGACAGCGCTGAAAAAAAATCTTCCTGCTCAGGATGGCCTACTCACAAAATACGCTGTCCATGGTTGTAGCGTATACAGAGAGGTTTATTCGGCATGGCAACATGTGCCATCCATGTTTTAACATTTACCACAGTGGCTGTACATCCTCACAAGATTTTTGTCCGCCTGAGGAACCCAAGTTGCTATTTTAAACATGACAGTTTAAGGGGATAAACTACTGCCATTGTCCCCGTGCACCATGGGAAACGTAGTCACATTATAATCTGCGCACGCTCCATTTTACTGTGGAAAACGGATACATTTCTGTAATTCTGTTATGTAAAATTAGTTACTTCTTTCAGATAATAGTCGTGGTTTTATTGTAGTACAAAATAAATACACACCAAACAAACTTTTGATTGTAATTAGGTAATGACCTTTTGCAATAAGACGTTCTAGAAATAAAAACATTAAAAACGTAACCAAAAGAAAACGTACTTGCACCATGGTAATTTGCGATATTACTTTGTGTATGGTAGAAACTGAAGGGACGCACGAGACAAGTTTTACCCGTTATTACAGCTGACAGGAGGGCGGGTTTCTGAGGTAATACCATAGACTGTATATACACTTATGTTTCACATATCAGTTACTTTCTTAAACTAACATATGTGTCATAATAACATTTGTGTAGGTTACTTACCTTAAAGAACGATGACAGCGCTGAAAAAAAATCTTCCTGCTCAGGATGGCCTACTCACAAAATACGCTGTCCATGGTTGTAGCGTATACAGAGAGGTTTATTCGGCATGGCAACATGTGCCATCCATGTTTTAACATTTACCACAGTGGCTGTACATCCTCACAAGATTTTTGTCCGCCTGAGGAACCCAAGTTGCTATTTTAAACATGACAGTTTAAGGGGATAAACTACTGGTAGGTCATCCTAAGCAGGTAGGCCAGATTTCATGTGAACAATAAACTATCTATCAACCAATACAGAAGTTTCAGTAGATACAAAACCAAAGCTTTAAATAGTTCAAAAACTACGTTACAATTTTGGGAACTTTGGAGTAGTTTTAGTAGTTATAAAACTGACACCCTTCACTCCACAACTGTTCTCAATCTTAAGAAAAAAAATGTTTTGTTTTTTTTGGACAGAAGCGTATTGCCAAATATTGAAATAAACAGAACAATTGATGATAACTGCCTTTCAAATGATCTTTAAAGACACTCATTATTTGTCTGTAGACAGTAATGCTTGTAGAGTAAAATGAAATAAGAAAAAAAAAAGAAAAAAAAAAAGAGACATTTATTTTGGTTCATTGTACATCATGCATAGATATACAAACTTCAGTACTGGGATTTTATTGCAATCTAAGAAATTAAGAAGGTCCTGCTTCAAAATGTGTTCTCTTGATGTTGTCGCAGTTAAAACGTACTTTCTCCAAACATTAAATAATAGGCAGACCAAATGAAAACAGCTGTACAATCATTAAGACGTTGTCTGACCTCCAAACAGGAACACAAAAATCAGCCACTTTTAGGATGTTCTCGCTGCTTGCTCTCCAAGCGAGACTGTATTCTCAGTACACAGTCAATAAACATCACCCACACTTCATCTCCATCCTCCTGTAGATCCATCTCTTTTCACTGTCAGTCGGATTGAGTTACAAACAACTGTCCAATCCCGAAAGCTCCTTTGATTCATTCAGTCGGTTTCCATGGCTCCACTGTGGGACTCTTTGGAGACCATTAATCTCATCAACTTCCCATGCAGTTTCTCGATCTTCTTTACATCTTGGGCCTGGTCGGTTTTGTACTGCAAACACTGAAAGAAAACATATAGTGAATATAATACCATGATCTACACAAGACCACAAACAAAACAGTCTATTTGCAAGAGCTCAAAACTTACCACAGCATCATCTGTGACTTTCATACAGATATTTCCATCACAGTGTCGATATTTCAGAGCCACTCGGACCTGAATAAACAACATTAACAAACAGTTACGATACATTAGCACATTTCAAGCTTTAATACTGCAGCCTTTCTCTGCCTGACAGCTGCATTTAGACGCATATATACATATTATATATTTTACGACATGTCGAATTTGCTCTACAACACATTTCCACGCTGTTCAAATGCTGTTTGATTGTGAAATAATATGTGAACATGAGCTGTGCTTGTAGCCTCAAAATAACCTCAGAAAAGAGGTTATATCAGTTACCTTCATCGGGTCCGTCAAATAAAGTTTTTCTGCAGCTCGCGCAAACTCTTCCCACGTCTGATAATAAGGCATGGTGTAATAAACACTAAATAAAAGGTATCTTATTCAATATTTTAACAGCGTAGCAAAACCCAGCTATTTGAAGCAAAACCCAGGTGGCATAAAATATGGCCACCTTCAGTCGTAGAAAACCGCACTCTGATTGGTAGGCGGCTGAACGGGCCAATAGAAAACGTGCACACTGATACGTGTCGGATTTGAGGATCGTGATTGGTTCATAGGAATAGAACGCGCTTGTGGAATGACCAGCGTGAAAAGGGTAGAAAGACGGGCGGAGCTTAACGGCTGCGTTGTCACGTGGTAGTGATGCAAAGTCCGATTCTTTTCCGCGAGCCGGTTCTTTCCGGACAGTTCGGCTCATTGAACCGGTTCAAAAAGCCGATTAATCGGTTCCTGGCGTCATCAAGCAATGATATCACAACGCATTTCTTATCTAACAACTCAGTGCCATGTTGTATTAATGAAACATTCAACTAAAGTCATTTGTGTCAACACATATTGAAACATTTACATAAAAAGTTATTTGTGTGAATGCACATAGCTGATATTGCCTTTCATTCACTTAAGTTAAATGGTGTCAGTGGTCACAGTTTCATTCACGGATCCTTTATGTCCGATACGACTAACCTACAACTTAGATCAGATTCCTAAAAGTTTCGCACCTACAGCACACATTACAGACACTGATGCACAAAAGCGGATATGTTCTACATGTCTAAAGTATAAAGAAAGAATGAACCTGTCTTATAAACTCCTTGATTTCGCTTAAACAACTTAAAATAGGATCTGCATGCAACATATAAACCGTGCTAAAATTCAGGTTTTTCCATGTTTTAATAAAAATCCAGGGCTTTTTAATAAAACGATTCATAAGCATATCTCCAGTAGCCTATGTTTTGTTTGTTATGAAGAAACTTTACGTATCAGGCTCGCTCAAGTCCTCGGTGATACACACGCAGTGCAACTCACTGGTCAGAGTCCTCGGTAATCCTCGGCGAACTTCGACAGTTGGTTAAACCGGCTCATTCGGTTCTTTTTGAGTCCTCGGTAATCCTCGGCGGACTCCGACAGTTTGTTAAACCGGCTCATTCGGCTCTTTTTGAGTTGGACGTGCTACTTCGTATTTAAAATCATTTTTATAGTAATTGTTAAATCGGAGTTCAGTAGTTATGTTAGTTACATGTCCCTTAGAATAACATATAAACTATTAAAACACGTGCTAGTTACAAATACATCCAGTTAGACTCAAAACGTCCTGTGATTTGAGTGCGGCTCAAAAGATGATTTTCGGGGGCTTTTTGAGCCACATGCGCCCCCTGCTGGTACACAACTTGTGTCTCGTCCTATCCAAGTACTAACTACAAACTTTCCCGTAAACGGCCAGTGAGCGACTGCTATACTGATGTATATTTTGAAGAGAGTCCTAGAGGAATATATTAGAACTGTTATACATTATATAATATTTATATATGAAACTGAGCGTAGTTGTCTTGCAATATGTAAGCAAATTGTTAATGGTTGTTAATGTGTTCTTTTTTAGAACTTACTTGAAACGACACGTGAGTTCAAAGAGATGTACATTGCGCGTAGAATGCATAACTTAAACACTGTATTAGCCACTAAATATGGTCTAAAAAGCAATGACATGACTGTGATACAGTTGTGGGACGGATAAAGCTATACGGGGGTCCTGGGACTAAAGCACGAGAATGTTTTATTCAAATATGCATGTGTACTAAACTGTATAAGAGCGCACCAGTAGATGGCAGTGTAGACTTTTCCAAAGTTGCATTTTACACAAAATTTGAAATTGTATTCCAAGTGATATCCCTTTCATTTTTCCTTCAGTCATATACCCAAGCCACATATACAGTGGGTATAGAAAAGAACCACGCCCCTTTAAAATAATCACATTTTGTTGCTTAGCAGCCTGAAATGAAGACGGACACGGTTTTTGTTTTATACAGCTGTATTTACTCAGTGCAACTTAATAACATCCAAATGAAATATATAACAACAACATGTAAAAAAAACTGCTCAAGTTCAGTTCAATTTGATGGTGACCGTTTGTGACGGTATTTTGCCCCATCCATTTTTTCTTCTATCCTGACAAGTGCTCCAGTCCCTGCTGCAGAGAAACATCCCATAACAGGATATTACCACCTCCACGCTTTACTGTAGGAATGCTGTTATTTGGATGCTGAGCTGTATTGGATTTCTGCCAGACATATTGTTTGATGTTGAGGTCAAAAAATTTGATTTTAG